ACACACACACACACACACACACACACACACACAGGCTTAAAACTATTGTTTTGTATCAGCACCACCAGAGGGCAGACAAACAGGCCGACCACTATTGTGATTATTATTTTTGAGAGGTGTGTTTATTAATTGGTGTTGTGCGTCTCTTTGTCCGTGTCCAGTCATACGAGTTCAACACCCTTGAGAAAGTTGTAAGGACGAACCCGGACAAGCTGAACAACATCATGGACGAGATGAAGCAGATTCTCACACCCATGGCCCAGAAGTAAGACCAGGAAAAGAATCACCTGCAAAGTTTGATTATGAAGTCCTTTACAAATGTTTTCTGACAGAGTGTGGTTAAAGCTTTCAGTTTTGTTATACTAATGAATAAAGCAATTCACATTAAGTTGAGGTAAAATGGCAAAAGATTCAATAAAAACATTGTTTAAAATATTTTTCCTAAAGATGAGAACAAATCTAAGCTGATGTGGAAACTTTGATTTGGTTTGAGACGCATTTATGGTCAGAATTTAATTCTTTTAGATAAATTAGATCCTAAAAGAAAGTTAAAGTTATAAAATTTCATTACTGAACTTAAAAGTTACAAATAAAACCTTGAAGTCGATTCGTCCACACATATTTGAGGTTTTGTAAGTGAGTGAGAGAGATGTTACATGCTGTTTTAGACATTTGTACGCACACAAAGGTTTTTGAAAGTCAGAATTATCAAATTGGTGAGCTGAACTTATTCAGGTTTGGATGTACGCATTTGTAAAATAGTTTTAGGTCAGATTTGGTATTTCTGTTTTGTATTTGTGGATTTAAACACGCACGTGTGAGTCCTCAAAAGTTACACACAAATCATTGTACACATTTGTTAAACTTAATTTATACTTGCAGATCATATTGTACGCACTGAGACACATTTCTCTCCATATTTCGGAGTCCTGTCCATCTTTGGGTCCGTATACCTATGCGAGAAGGTTTTCTCAAACATGAACTACATGAAGTCCAAACGGTGCTCTTTCCTGACTGATGCCACTGCAGTACTGCATTAATATTACAGCCCTGATATGGAGAAGCTCTGCAATGATGTTCCGAAACAGAAATCACATTAAAAGAGCATTTAATATGCTGTTATTTTTCAATAAATATCTCTATATTTTTGACCCTGAGTTGATATAGTTTTACGTTCAGGGCTGGACCCCAGACACAGACACACGGCTCTGTTTCTCCTAGTATTCAGCCTGAGGGGCTAAAATGTCTCTTTGGTGCCCTGAGTCAGACCTAAGTTACTGTCATTCTTTTCACTCAAAGTCTGCACGTTGTGCATATGAGTGGAAGAAGGAGGTGATTTTACGTGTTTGAATCATAGGCCCCAGTTTTGAAAAATGAAGCACTGGTTTAGTTCTAGCGTGAAAGTGGCCTACATCAGTTGGCACCACTGTGGATTTTCTACTATTAGAAGTTAAAGGTTTAACCTCTTTTGAAATGCCACAAATATTCTGTCCAAACTTTTTAATCTTCAGACCAAAGCTCACAGAAGCTATCAGATGGATTTTTAGATATTTTTGTATTTTTGTATTTCAGGGAACAAGTGATCAAACACTCTCTAGTCCACAAAGTCTTCCTGGATTTCTTCCAGTGTGCTCCTGAGAAACAGAGAACGGTGAGCCTCTTTTTAAAGTTTCCATGTATTAAAGAACAGAAGCTGAATATCACTGCTTCATTGGAACTAAAAATGGAATAATAATTGTTTCTCCTTGCTCTGTTTGTTGCGATTCGAGCAGGAGATGATCGAGTCCATCAGACAGTCTGTCGTCTACATGGCCCACACTCACGACGGAGCCCGAGTGGCGATGAACTGCTTGTGGCACGGCACAGCCAAGGTGCGCACACGCTCAAATGCAACAACTGCACGTGCACATACAGGAGTTCTGTTGTTACAGACAGTTGAGAAGCAGCCTTCACTCTTTTCTTTTTTCCTCCATGGGAGTCATTTAAAAAACTCTGCTCGAAAACAAAACTTTTGGGCTCAAAATACACGAAGAGAGAGCCTGATCGGATTTTGTTTGCGTAAAGTCTCTTGTACCCAGTTTAAAATCGGTGGCATAAATGACCTCAAGTCATCACCTGTGTTTATTTATCGGTTCATTAAGGTTAGCAGGAGGACACACAAACCCAGGCTTTTACCTGTACTAGTAAGCCAGTACAGGTAAAAGGGTTGCAGCTCCATCCACTGTGACCCCTTGGGAAATAAAGGTTAGGCTGAAAGTTGTTTTTTTTATTATTACCTATTAGCTATCAGAATTGTTCCATGTACCACAAGCCCCAGGGTAAACTGATATTGTGGTGATCAAAGAGGTTTTCTTCTGTGGTGTAAAAGCAAAGCTATCAGTTCAGTGGTGCATCTACACTCTTACCCTCAAGTTCTGGGTAGCAACCAAAAGATGAGGGGAAATGAGTTTCCTCTAGAAGATGCAAGATGGCCTGTTCTTCATTAGAATAGGAGTGAGCTCAGAGTAGAGCTGCTGCTTTATTTATTGAAAGAAGCTAGTTGAGGTGGTTCATGCATCTGATTAGGATTCCTGATGGACATCAAGTGGCAGAAGATGGATGATCATAATTATTTCCTAACGTGCCAGCCGCACATTAAAGCTTCTTCAGTTTCCCATAATCTTTAGATTGGCACCATCCAAACTTCATATATATTTAACTAATGTTGATGACTGGCAGGAAATGGAAGCGTCTGCTTCACAAAGTCATTGTTTTATTTTTTGTTTCAGGACCGAAAAGTCATCATAAAAACTATGAAGACCTACATGGTGAAATTTGCCATGGTGAGTTCATTTAATCACGTGTTGATTGATTAAACCAAAACCTACGTTTATATGTTAACAATTCATGCAAAGTGTCTGCAGGCCAATTAAAGTATGTTATAATCAGTTTGGATGTTTTTAGTGTAGTGTAAAATAACTTCATGGTTGTATGTCTGCCAAAAAATAATCACTGTCAGTGTGTATTTCTGTACTTTGTATTCTCACCTCCACTTCTACCTCTCATTAGTCTTATTTTTCTTGTGGATTTCTGTCAGTGTTTCAGAAGTTTTGTGATGAAATTCTGTTCTTGATGTATCTTCTAAAACGTCTCAGACAACTTGTTATGTGCACAATTGTTCAAAACTAGAAAATAGCAGCTGATTATTAGATCTCTTTAAAGATACATTGTTCTGAAATTAAAATTCCTCAGAGTGAGTAAGAGTGAGGACTGATATATGTATGTATCCACAGGGGGAGTTTGCTCACCTGGTTCTTTTGGCCATATTCGACTGTGTGGACGACACCAAGCTGGTCAAACAGGCTGTGCTCTCAGTAAGTCAAATGCAAAATACTTCATTGGTATGCAGACTCAAATGGTTTTGGAGCCCAGCAGGAATCTGCAAACTGACTAGAGAGTGTAGAGAAAAATGACTGTGAGTGGCCTGAGCCAAAGTGCAAATCTGTCTGAACAGGAACAGGGCAGACACACACTGCCACAGCAAAAGAAACCTTAGCTTCAGACTTGGATGGTTCCTGGACTCATATGCTCCTGACTGGGAGGGGAAAGAATGCAAAGCATGACATGTTTAAGAAGTATCCCCATTAAAAACTCATTTGTGTCCCACCTTTCCAGGAGATCCTAGAATCTCTGGATGAGGTCGTAGGTAACAAGTACGGTAAAAAGGTCCTGGTGTACCTGCTGAGCCCCAGAGACCCGGCTCACCTGGTGCCGGAGATCATCAAGGTGTTGGAGCAGGGAGACGGAAACGCACACAGGTAACAGCAATATGGACGGTTTTGTTTAATCCAAGAAAGTAAAAATAAATAGTAATGCTGACACATAAAAGTCTGAGATGGAGTGAAGGTCACATGTTTCTGCTCTGTTCAGTAAAAAGGACACAGCAACTCGGAGGAAGGAGCTGCTGGAAGTTGTCTCCCCACCGCTGCTGGAGTACCTGTGTAACAACGCAGCTGCCATGGCGATGGACAAGGCAACCAGCGTCACCATCAGCGACATCTTGGCGTCGGCCTGTGGGGACCTGCGGCCCGCCATGACGGCTGTGGCTCAGCTGGCCAATCAGGAGTTGGTACCAGGAGGGATTAAAGGCGAGGTGTGTGTCAGCAGTTAGAAACCGAGCACAAAAGTGTCAACATTTAAACAACAAATATGAATATGAAAGGATTTTTTTTTTTTAATTGGATATTCACTAAAAGAAGCTTTGATGGTGACTTTATGTTTGATGCGCTGTGCTCTTTGTGCCCTCTGTAGCTTCACATGGCAGAGCATCCAGCAGGACACCTGGTGCTGAAGTGGCTCATAGAGCAGGACGTCACGCTGGCAGAGGCCGGCAAGGAAGGTAAGGACACTCTGACACACACACGGTAAACTGGTTTTAATGAGAATGTTGTTGAATTCAAGGTCATTTCTGACAGTGTGCTGAGCATTTAAAAAACCTGTTTAAGTGGGTTTCTTAGATTAGCTTGAGTCGTTTTCACACAAACTCCAGATATTTGCAGGGGAATCAGGCTGGATTTAGATGTGTTCACAATGCTGGGAACACTGTGTTTTTTTAGACAAGCAGGCAGGACACATGACACCTGCTTGGAAGCAGCAGCTGTAAATAAATAAATAAAATTTTGTCAACAGCCTAGCTGCAGCATTTTGCACAACCTGTAGACGATCCAGAGAACCTTTGCTTAGACACATAAAGAAAGAGTTACAATAGTCCAAGCGTGAGGAAATAAATGCATGTATAGCAATCTCCAGTTCAGGGTGAGATAAAATAGGGCTTAACTTAGCCACATTTCTTAAATGATAAAAACAAGATCGAACCAGAGATTTCACATGCCCATCCAATGTGAGAGTCGAGTCAAAAGGTACACCTAAATTCTTGATAGAGGATTTGACATACACTGAAAGAGGACCAAGGGTTTTCACTGTCTGGGATAAAAATCTGTCAGGAGCGCATACGAGGACTTAAGTTTTCCCCTCGTTGAGTTGGAGGAAATTTGCAGCCATCCAATGTTTGATGGAATCTAAGCAGTCATTCAGAAGCTGAAGCTTAGATAAATCCTGGGGCTTAAAAGAGATGTACAACTGAATATCATCAGCATAACAGTGATAAGAAATGTCCTCAAAAGAACCCATTATATGCTGGAGGGGGAGAAGATATATTAAGAACAATAAAGGCCCCAAGACCGAACCCTGAGGGACACCACAAGTAAGGGAGGTAGAAGATGACCTAAAATCGGAGACCACCACAGAAAAAGATCGGTGATGTAGATATGAGGAGAACCACTCGAAAGCAGTACCCGATACACCAACCCAATGCTTAAGCCTTTCAAGGAGGCTGCGGTGGTCAGCAGTGTCAAAAGCCGATGTTAGGTTCAACATAAGTAGGACTGAGCATTTTCCTGCATCATTACTCATCAGAATGTCACTTGAGACCCTAAGAAGGGCTGTTTCTGTGGAGTGAGCTCTGCGAAAGCCAGACTGAAACTTATCGCAAATGCTATGTTTGTCCAGAGCTGCTATAAGTTGCTTAGCCACAACCTTTTCTAGAAGCTTAGCAATTAACGGTAATTTAGAGATAGGTCTGTAGCTGCTCCAAAGAGAGGGAGTCTAGCTGAAGTTTTTTTAAAAGTGGGAGAATAGCAGCATTTTTAAGATAAACCGGAACTATGCCAGATGCCATTGAAGAGTTGATTAGAGTGAGCACAGATGGACCAATAACCTGGAAGACATTTTTGAATAATGATGCAGGAACAATGTCAAGTGGACAAGAGGATGCTTTCACTGAATTCGCTAGTTTTACCACCTCAGGTAGTGAAACGGGAGAGAAAGTATCCAAAATGACGTGCCGAGATGGGGTTGAGATCGACATAACAGGTGCTGAATGAGAAAAATTCATTCTTACGTTCTTCATCTTTGCAAGCAGAAAAGAAAGAAAACTGTCAAGTCGTCCTCATTAGATGAAATAGCGGCTGCAGGAAGAGCAGGAGTAACAATGTCCCTAATTGTGTTGAATAGCACCTTAGGATTACCTCTGCTCTTTGTAACTAAGTGTGAGAAATAGGCAGCCCTCGCATCTCTGATAGCATTATTAAAAGAAGCTAAATGGTCCTTTAGGTAGAGGAGATGAACATTTAGATGGGTTTTCCTCCACCTGCGCTCCGCTTTACGACAATCACGTTTTAGACCGCAAATACTGTCATTTAGCCAAGGAGGAGATTTGCAAGCAGAAACTCTCATTTTAACTGGACAAATATAATCTAAAATAGAAAGGCAATAATTATTCAAAAGATTGGTTGAATAATCAACATCATTATGAGGAGATAGTAGGTTAAAAGCATCCGCAAATTTCTCAGCTGTGGAGGAGTCTAAGATACGAGAGCTAAGTATCCGTTGAACAGGGGACAAAAGCCCATTAAAAGACAAGTTAAAAACAATAACATGGTAATCACAAATAAAAATGTCCTCAGAGCAAATAATATCAATAGTTATACCCAAAGTAAAAACAAGGTCCAGTGTCCAGCTGTCACACTTTTAGCATACCGCCAGGTTAAAGACCAGCTAATGCCTGATTCAACTGAGCTGGACATTGTGTTCTCATTGGCAACTCTCTAGAGCAATGTCTCCAAATGTTAATGGCCACATGTGTGAAAACAGCTTAGTGCCTGTCCCCTCTAACCCGATTGAGGATTTAGTCAGTTATAGCTATGGATCAAAAGAGAGAAGTGAACTTTTTAAAAACATGAGTACGCTAGAAGCAGACAGCTGGTATTCAGTGGACTAAAAGCCAAACACACAGCTTTGGAGTGTGTCTCTGCTGAGCTGAACAACAGAACCACAAACCACCACAAACTGCAATACTCCTACATACCTGCAGGAAAATCACTTCACATCAGGGCTAGAAAGTGGAAACTATGCATCTTCTTATCTCTGTATCTTGTTAATCTCTGCCTGTCTGTTTTACCCTCTCAGAGCGATTTGGGAGGATCCTCGTGGACACAGTAGGAACAAATAAGATGAAGAGCTGGGCCAAAGTCAACAGAGGAGCCATGGTGCTCTGCAGGTCGGTGAACAAACACATTTCTATCACTTCAGAGGATATTTCTTGAGGGTTGTATAACAACTGAAGTTCAGCTCAGATAGTCTTTTTATTAACTGGCTGGACAAAAACTCAAACCCCAGTCAGGGATGAAGGGTATCATAATGTCAAATGTCACATGACTCTTCTTTAACACAAAATAACCTCTGAGTGCCGCCTACTTCTATCCTAGATATTATCAGATGATGATGATAAAATGGTGATTAAAAATCTATCAAGAGCATAAGAATCTAACCGTAAGAGCAGATAATCGATACTGATTTTAAAACATGGCACTTCCAGCTGATTTTAAACTGAAGATAACCATGTGTTTGTTCTAAGGACCAACAGGGGGCGACTCTGGTATCACAAAGAAACCGTTTACCCTCTTTTTTTGTAAATTAAAGTTTTTTGGGGGGGGGGTTTCTTTGCAGTTTGCTGAACAGCTGTGACAAGTCTGTGGCTGCGGAGGTGAAGGCGGTGCTGGAGTCCATCAGGTCGGAGCTTAGCAGCATCAGCAACAACAAAGGCGTGGAAATCCTGCTGGAGAATCTGAACAAGTAGACCTTTTTCTTCCAAACAAACTGCTGATGTTTAACCCATCGCTGCCTCTGTGGCACCAACACCTGCATGACTGTGAGCGATTGAAGCAGAAAATGGGAACATTTTTCAGGAAGTGGATACAACCTGACACACTGCTGTGTAATTACAGTGGATGGAAATTTTTTTGGAATCTGGGAAATTAGGAAAAGTGTTTGGAAAAATGGTCACCGCTACAAGAAAACAGATTACAAACATGGAAGAACAGCTGGCAGTTCAAAAGTCAACGGACAGCACACACAAATTCTCAGATAATCAGTTTCGAGTCCATTACTGTCTTTGAAACTCAGCACTTCATAATTTACATTAAACAAATCTGGACAAAGTGATGGGTTTCATGGACAGAAGCTAAAATGTTTAGATACAGAGCTGATTAGTGAATGGGAAACAGCCTCTGTCTGCGATTGATGAGCTTAGCATGACTGAATGAATCATGACGAGATCTTCAAGAAATGAACAGAGGTCTCTTATACTTACTGTAATTATAAGAGAAAATCCTGCTTATTTTATGCTTGGGGTCTTCTCCAGTTGACTTGATTTTAAAATCTATGTTCAGGCCAACTGAACATGCAACTCTGCAGGTCATTAAAAGCACAGAAAAGGTGTGACAAGTAAAACCATGTGCATAACATGACAAAGCCCAAAGTTTTTTGGTAATTTGTGTGAACTAGGATTCATCTGGTCAGCCTTCAGATTTGTTTTGTAAGATTTTATGTTGTAAGCATCAGCTACAAAGTTACTGTGTTTGCAAAATAAAGACTACTGTGACAATTATCATAATATGATTTTTTTTTTAAAATAAAAAAGATATTTATGTGATGCTGACACAGAACCCCAAAACCTGAGTGTGAGCAAGCAAGTAATCAACAAGCATAGTCAAAGTAGACTTTAAAATGTTGGTTTATTTCAGTGAGCGGAAGAACCTGTCACATTTCTGCCATAGATATTGTTCCAATGGTTGGTGCTCATGGTAAATGGACTGGTAATACCTGTAAGATAAATAACTTTGAACTCTGAATCATGCAAAGCCACTCCTATAGAGCCTAAGAATAAAAATATTTAGGGGGAAATGAACACAATGGGTCCTCGGGGGAAATGAACATAATGGGTCCTCTTTGACAATGTCATGCATGTAATTTGATTACATCACTTTTTTAAAATGTTGCTTTCCTGTGAAAGAACCTGGCTCAATTCTTCTTTTTGCCATTTGAAGCAAGAAATTGCTTCAAAAAAATCTGATATTTTATAAAAGAAGGTTGTCGGCTCCAGAGATACAGTGATTCATATTTTGAGGATAGAAATTTCTGTACACAAACTGTTGAAGACAAGATGAGAAACCATTTCATTCTTACAGAGACTCATGGAGCAGATAAACGGGTCTCTCAGGCACTGTCCAGATGTTGGGTGATTCAATGTTATCGGGTCCCATGTCGGGGATGGAGGCTTTAACAGCTTCACCACAGACAGGTTTGGAATAAATAAACACCTTTAATTCAGAGGACCTTTTTTTTTGACTTTGAGAATTGGAATTGCAATTTAAAAAAAAACCTTGTACAACAATAATAAGCAAAAGTGATACTACATATAAATTTGGCCACAGCCCCCCTTCAAGGTTATCTCCTTTTGCACCAGTGAACTGTTTCCAGTGCTGCTTTCAGTTTGGGTCACTCTAGAAATTCTGTCCTGATCATTTTAAATCCCTTCTGTGTAAAACTAACCGTTGACTTTTGTGCCAAGGATCATTGCTTGTGAGAGTTGAGACCTGGGATACTTCAGGTCAGGACTGTGAGCAGGAGCAATTGTGGGAGTGTTCATGAACAGAGGCAGATATGCATCTACAAAAGGTATTTAAACCTTGGTTAAAAATAAATTTGGGGGCTTGTCCAGGATCAGTACTTCTGGCCTATAACCTGAATTTTTGTTGCTACCCAGCTCACAAAGCTAAAACATAAAATTGAGACTGACATCGGATCATTTAGAAATGTGAGTTTTTATTCAATTTCTAAATAATCTAAGTTTACACACAGAAAAATAAATTTAAACACTGTAGCCAGGAGAGCATGACCTAGCAAGAAGAAGTGGTGGTGCATTAAACACCAACTAAGTCAGTTTATCAGGTCCATGGTTATCTGTTAAGGTCATACACCCCCACAGGTTTGCACTGCAAAGCCAATAGGAGTTGCAGGGAGCACAACAGAGCAAGAGTATCCGGTCATTAAGTCTGACGTCACTAGCCGT